TCACATGGGAGTGAGAGGAGGGGGGGGGGGGGGGGGGGGGGGGTTGGCCGGGGAGCAGCGATCGCTGCTCAGGAAATGTCTGGGTATCGCTCAGTGGGTGGTGAGCAATTGCATTGTGCATCACTTGCTTTGTATATTATTATACTATTATTATCATGACTATTTCAACTATTAAACTGTTCTTATGTCAACCCAGGAGTGTTTCTCACTCTTACTCCTCCGATTCTCTCCCCCATCCCACCGGGGCAGGGGGAGTGAGCGAGCGGCTGCGTGGTGCTTAGTTGCTGGCTGGGGCTAAACCACGACATCGTCTATACCTAAATTAAACTTCTTAGCTTTGCATTCTTAAGAATATTTAAGTATCCTTTGGGGTTTACATCACTCACTTCCCTCTTTCTCAGAATGCTACACAATTGCCTACTACACATCTAAACTCATTTTTCAAAGCAAAACTATACAGGTGAAAACATTCCCTTGCTTCTTTCCAATCTGTAGTCCAGAACAGGTTTTACTAACTGAATTGTGTCAGATGAAAGTGCTCTCCTGATGATGGGCTGTTTTTAAAACTTAATCAATTTTCAGAAGTGCCAGCTATGAGAATTCCCAGAACTTAGCACTTTTTAGAGAAATTTAATTATAGGTTTTGATTTTAAGAGATCTATTACCTTATGCTTGTCTGTCCTCCCAAGTCCCAAACTTGAAATTTCAGATTCTTGTATGTCACTGTCTCAACATTGAAGCCAATGGCTGAAACAAAGTTAAACAATTTCACCGTTGGTGATTTTTCTTTATTTTTCTGAAGAACAGGACAGCAGGTTTAAAGTTTTCAGGCCTGAAAGTAGCTACATAATGACGTTTGTGCTTTTTGCAAAGTTACCCCAACAAACATTTATAGCTCAAAACAGCACAGTAATTTTTTTCTTTGAACAATAAAAACACATTGTAAACGTACTGTAGAGATTTGTAACAAATGCCAAGGTTGTTAAAAATGAACAGAACTGTGCCTGAAATCACCAAAAGAAACAGAGCAAGCGTTAAAGGAATGGCCATATTTGATAACAGAGTACACAACTGACAGCAACAAAATGCTAAGGAATGTGTCCTTTGTGTCAACAGCAGATCTGCGCTCTCACAAGGCCACAGCAAAACCAACTTCTCAGCAGCAGACTTGACACTGGGGTATCTGGGAGATGGCAGTAAGGTTACAGAGTATGACATATGTCATTCCTTTTCCTGCCAGCCCAGAGAAACGCAACACACGGAAGTGAACGATGGATGCAGACTGCCGAAAATTTACAGAGGCTGAGATAAGCAAAACCCTAGGGCAAAAGGATTATGGCGTAGTAAACCGCTGGCTTCGAAAAGGTAAAAAAAGACCTCACCAAAGTCAGTTTATCGTGGTCGTTTAGGAGAAAACCAAGAGACATGACAGGGGCTCAAAAGCCAAGCATCCCTTGTCCTTCACGTTACACAGAGTGATCTGAGCCAGACCGCTTCGGCACACACATCTGGCTGTTTGTAACAGGTGGGTATGGCTGCATGAATGCTAAGACAACTGGTGAAATCAGTTACGTTTTTTTAAGTAAGCATCATCTCCTTCCATGAGATCTCACATTGAGTTTTGTTACACTTTCTACACAAAGTAAAGTTAAACCTTCCGACTTCGTCTTCTCTGTGTTAAACAGAGGTGTTTATGTAACAAACTGAAGACCCTTGTCAAAAAAAAGAAATTAAGTATGATTCAGTGACATAATCCTACGTAAAATTTTTTTTGCACAGTAATAACAATCTCTAGAATTCGCATTATAGCTATATTTACAGACAAAAGACTTTCATAGTCAACAGTTACTATTTACTGAACATTTACCTATCAAGAAAAGCCTGCCAAATCACGGTAACAATCTTAAGGTTTTCGCATTCAGCAGGGCAGCATAAAATATGCCTTTATGTA